AGCTATCTACACAAGTTAAGCCATAACTACAAGCGATTTTTTCTTTGCAATTTTTGCTGCATCATGCTGTGCACTTGTGTCCTTATATCCTTGTTGTGGTTAACAAAATACAGTGTCTGCTATATCATATTTTTTTTTTTGTTTTTATTTCTTCTCTTTCCTTTTTCAACTAACTTGATGTTCTCTAATGCAATGCAACAACAGCTTTTGTTTTTCTGCTGTTCACGTTCGTTAGTCTTCGCTCAGCTGGCTTTCTATGTATCTCTAGCCATGTATTATCTAGAGATTTTCCAACGAATTTATTTTCTTTTTGCTTCATTTCATTTATTTAAATTGCCGCAGGAATATAGCCAGCGCTGGGTTATTATTGTTGTTGTTAAATTAGTTATGCTTTTATACAATTGATGAATGGTGGAATACTCTGCTACACAGTTAGTTGCTACCACTTGTTGGTGATGAAAATATTATAAACTCATACATAATTATGTACATAGATAGATAGCTAATCAAATTAAAGGCTTTAAGTCACACTAATATGAATGTGTGACTAACTACGCATTAGTTTTTGTTATCCAAACAATTTTTTTTTTGTATTTTATTTTAAGCGTTGAATACGAAAACCTCTACTTCAAATACCAGCATATTTTTTCAAATGCTTATCATTACCTTATTTTCCCATCTTCCATGTGAAAGAATCCTTTAACCAGAATACACCACTGTATAACCAGCGCGGTCATAAATAATGTATATCCAGTTGCACTATAACCATATTTGCGCAAGAAGGTCATTAGAAAGCCGAAGCCAATGTAGATCATCACCTGTACATCTTGGAAATCTATAAATACAGAAATAACAAAAAAAAATATAAATTTGATAACTTGAATCGATTAAATTAATTAAGACGCATTTATAGTTCATTTCCACCAAGCCTTAATTTCAGTTTATGCCTGTTGGAAAAGGAGATCACAGTTGCGGGGGGGAGGGGTCTTATATTTAAGTACACGCAATCGAAACCAAAAAAGTGAAAAGTAAGAAACCAACTTTGCTGATCACCCCATTTTAATGCTATTTACACTTACCTGTAGCCCGTTTCTGTAACTTTTCTCTACCGATTATTTCTCTACTGGTAGAGAAAATACGTCACTCTCACCTACTAATTAGCAGTAGAGAACAGGGCGGCGAATTCATATCTCAATTCGCCTTGGTAGAGAATTGTTACAGAAACGAGCTACTGGACACCTAACTACAGTTAAGCTCTTGGTGAAAATGGGCTATAGTTGTCCAAAAAATTCTGAACAGATTTTACGGCATTTTTTAATAACACTGTTCTACTGACGTAATCTAAATGTTTCACAGTTCTTCCGTTTTCATAAAATTCCTTTTTTGCACAAACAAATTGCGCTTTTCTGAAATTAATTCTGAAATATAGTAAACATTTATGGGGCGTTCCATACCAAAACGGACGGGGTTCACACTTCATGTGTTTGATTTGTTTCAAATTTTTAGGGTTGATGCATAAACTTAAATAATAAATAAATATGAAATTTGAGCTCGATTAATACAATTTTAAAAATTTTACAGCACAAAAACAAAAACAAATCGATTTAATAGTTTTCCAAATATCTCGAGAACGGGGCGAGGAAAAACTTTGAAAAAACTTACACATACACACATCAAAATTCTCTATAAAAATAAATATTTTTTTTTAAACTTTTTTTCTTGAAACATTTTTGTTGAAAAAATTAAATTTGAAAATATGCCATCTCAAAAAAAAAATTGAGAAAAATTACAATGGTTATTTTTTGGCCTAATAAATTATGTGTATAAAACAATTTTTATTGAACTTGAGGCCGTTTTATGTGTAGAATTGTTGTGGAAAAACAACAATCTTTTATAAATGGTAGAAGTTATAGCTGCTATTTCAGAGATCACCTCATCAGACTTCTTCATCGCGGTCACTGGGATTCGACACAGCGACCCCCGCTTACAAAGCCAATGGTCTACCCACTGCGCTAAGTTCGCCTTATTTATTGGCGTAGCACCGGCAAGAAAAAAAGTTTTAAAAGTATAATTAATTTATTCACTGCAGCTCATTAGGATAGCGCATCCCTTTGTTGAACTTTTATTATCGGATCTGCACTAAGAATATGCTATATTTTTATAAAAAATTAATGAATACTAAATGAACTAATAGAAAACTGTGAATACTGAGGTTAAAAGGAGTGCGCCATTTAAACTCGACCCTTCATAAATACTATAGCCTGGTAGAAGATCAAACGCTTCGGATACCGGATCTGCCGCGCAGCGTAGCTAGTCGAAATAGCCGGTTCGGGAATCTCGGATGGACGACCACCTTTTTTCTCCGTCACCCGTGAGACTTTCGAAAAAAGGTCCTTAGAAGACACATCTTCTGTATCAACTACAGATACGACACCGCCGAGTTCTGCTACCTTAGAACAGCTCACAACGAACTAGCCTAATTTTCGATCCCGCAGAAACAGTCATGGTTATCTGTTCAAAGAAAACGCGAATCGTCCGGATCCAGCTTCGTTGCGGGGAATCGGGGAAGGAGCTGCCTTTTGCGGGGAACTTTAACTATTTAATTTTACACCATTAAAGCGCTTACCTAGAGTGCAGAATTAAATGCTTGCTCATAAAATAAAATCCAATTAAA